TGTTGCTGTTCCTTGCAGACTGTTGCCATGACTACCCACACATTTTTATATTTGCACCATCTAACTAAGGGATACTGGTCCAGTTTCCACATGTGCATGAATCAGCGGATGCAATCCTTTTTAAAACAGGGTTTTGTTTTCTTTTTTAAAAAAGAGCATAACATGTAACAAGCACCCACAGACACACAAAAGCAGATAGATTCCTGCTATGATTGTATCAGACTTCGTTTTTTTGGGAAACTCACAAACAGAAAAAAGAAAAACAGATGCTAATATTTTTTCTGAACTTCCTTAATTTTTGTTTGTCATCATCTAGAATGTAAGATTATGTTTAATCATAATCAAAGCACTGTTTCTTTAATTGTTGTTAGTTTCCTACCGAATCATTTATTGACTACATCAAATACATAGAGATCAACAGAGATACTTTACCAGAATGCATCAAAAAAGCTTCCTGAAATCTCTTTCTAAATTTGTTCACACCTGATTACATTCCAGAACCAGTTAGTTCCAGATTCCGCAATGGGTATATCACTTGCAAAGTCGCTGGTTTCCTACCGAATTATTTATTGACTACATCAAATACATAGAGATCAACAGGTACTTTACCAGAATGTATCAAAAAAGCTTCCTGAAATCTCTTTCTAAATTTGTTCACACCTGATTACATTCCAGAACCAGTTAGTTCCAGATTCTGCAATGGGTATATCACTTGCAAAGTCGCTGGCTAACTAGTCATATAACATTTAAAACGCTAGAAATATTTTTAATGTACTATGTGCACTTGAGATAACGCACCATTTGTACAATTGATACCATGTGGTCTGTATGTGGCATTAACTCCCATTTTGTATCTCACAGTTCTTCCTATCAAGCAGGATCTATTCCTTCTCCTCTGCACTTCACTCTGTTGTGCTTCGGTGTATGATTACAAAACAATGTAATTATAGAGAAATTCTTACATCAGCAGCTCCACAAGTCTTCTACACACTCCAGCATCAATCACAGCTTGAATTTTATCATTAGGTCCATCAGACAGGTATGACAGTGCCCAACATGCATCTGCTAGTACATCTGTGTCATTGACAAAGAGCAGCCAGGAAAGCACACTCAAACAGGGAGACACCTATAAAGAAATGTGTGTGTGTTAGAAAAATTAACAGAATCCAAAAAGTACATCTTAAAATGATTCACAAACGGATTTCCAACTGTGGAAGACTCAAAGAGTCAGTATAAAAATAAAGAGCACTACAGTGCGGCCTCGACTTACAAACGTCCCTACTCGAAAATTTCAAGGGACAAAACGCTCCGACTGCAAAATTTTGGTTCGACTTGTGGACGAAGCTTCAACCTACGAAAGGCAGGGAAAGGGCGCGAAATTCAAAGCCGCCCCCGCTACCCTCTGCCTCCCGTCCCCATGGGGACAGGAGGCAGAGGGCAGCGGGGACAAAAGGCAGAGGGCAACGAGGACATGAGGCAGTGAGGACAGGAGGCAGAGGGCAGCAGAGGGGATTTGGAAACCCGGGAAGCCAGCAGCGGGCATGGAGGTTGGGGCGGCTTTCAGCTTCCCAGACTTCCAAAGCTGCACCCGCTGCCCTCTGCCTCCTGTCCCCACAGTGACGGGAGGCAGAGGGCAGCAGGGACAGGAAGCACAGGGCAGTGAGTGCAGCTTTGGAAGCCCGGGATTTTTTTTTTTATTTGGCTGGAACAGATTAAATGGTTTTCATTGCATTTCTATGGGAAATGGTGCTTCAACTTACGAAATTTTCGAGTTATGGCCACCGGTCCAATATGGATTAATTTTGCAAGTTGAGGCACCACTGTATTTTAAACTATGAACACTGTACGGTAAGTGTCACATTAAAATTAGAAGGCTGCAAGAATATATCCACCAGGTGAAGTCATTTTTTATTTTCATAGTATCCCAAAGTGAATGCAAAATGTATTCTTGAAGGCTTTCATGGCCGGGATCCGATGGTTGTTGTAAGTTCTTCAGAGGACAGGAGTTAGAACTCCTGTGAACACGGACAGAGTTCTAACTCCTGTCCTCTGAAGCTGCCGGCCACAAAGACTGGCAAAATGTTAGGAGAAAAATCTCCAGAGCATGGCCAAACAGCCTGAAAAACCTACAGCAACCATGAATGTAAAATGATCAGTCATTAACTGGTCTGCAAAAGAAATACAGTATTTTGTTTCAGAATTATAAGGATACCAGATGAAAAGATGACACAGTCTCTACTGAAAAATGAAATAACAGTCTTCAAACCTCTTTGGTTTTCACTACAAATATAAAGCAAACTGTGAATTCCCTTTTTCCATTTTACTCTGACAAAACTCTGGTGGTGGTGATGGTGGACACTCATTTAGCATATTGCAGCCTGCTATCAGTGCTGGTTTGGGCTGCTGCCATGTGCATACTAGCAATAACAAAATCAGTGGCATGATTTAGTACAACTTAAAACAGTAAGTGGTATGACTGCATGGCTAGGGAAGGGGGCTAGAAAAAGGAATATATGAAATATAAGCTTGAGCAAAAAGGGAAATAAATAAAAATTGAGGACTCAAAAATATAGTGGTGGGTGTTAGTAGGATGGGGAAGTGTAGAAAACAATTTAAGAACAATGCATAACAAAATAGGTATGTTGACATAAAAAAAGTAAACAGTCTGTTGTTGTTGTTGTTGTTGTTGGTTGGTGGTTGTTGTGGTTGTTGTGGTGGTGGTTGTGGTGGTGGTTGTGGTTTGTTGTGGTTGTGGTTGTGGTGGTGGTTGTTGTTGTGGTTGTTGTGGTTGTTGTTCCCCTGTCCCTCCACATAGGATCAGGGGAAGTGTTCAATTTTTTTCCCCCTTTTTTGGACATCCTGGATTATTAATGTTGATTAGTTCTCTTTATTTATGTCCTTGTGGGCAGGACTGGGTAGTTGTGTTTTAACATTTGTTAGTCTCACAGAGTAGTGCAAATGTAAACAAACAGCCTAGGTCACACTTTTTTTTGGCTTGGGCCCTGTCCCTGATCAGTTGGCCAGCATGAAAAATGAGCCACATACCTATGAGAGCTGCTGACACTTGACTTGCAAGCATATTAATGGTTTGTTTGATTGCTTACCTTGTATACTACCCTACTTTGCAATACCCACTACTCTGGGTGGTTTACAAAACAGACTGGAAAACCCCCACCCACCTTCCAGACACCCTCCTACTCACAAAACCAAACAATACTGTGATGACCAATTCAAACAAACAAACAAAAACAAAAAAACTCTACATTTAAAAATTAAATGTTCAAAACAGTAGGGGTTGTTTTTTAAAGGATGCTTTATAAAGTTGTGTCTTTAGTAATTTCCTAAAGGTCAGGAGGGACAGAGCCTGGCACACCTCAGAAGAAAGTTTATTCCACAGATTAGGGGAACAGTAGGGGCCACCACTGAGAAGGCCTGATTTCTCACTGTCATCTTTTTGGCTTCTTGCAATATGACCACACTTAACACTGTGGTTTGGGAGCAGCATGTAAAACAGGTGGCTGTTTTTTGGGGGGTGGTGGTGCAGGGAGGCATTTTGACAAATATCAAGGTCCTAAACCATCAAGGACTTTACCGGTCAGCACTAGCACTTTGAACTGGGCACAGAAACTAACAGAGAGCCAGTATAGGCAAACCAAGACTGGGGACATGTTTACTACCTTGGTGAACTTTAAATACCATTTGGTGAACTGGAATTCGACAGGAGTGCCAACCAGATCAGCTGGAAGACCGTCAAAGGCATTCTAGAATCCAACTGGATCCAGCACTTCTGGCAGACCATTCTATTAGGT